TGGGTCCTTCTTTGGCTCCAGCTGACGAGTCTCGGCGTTGTACAGCAGGTAGGGGATTCGTAGAGGCTCGCCCTCCATGTCCGGCAGGAAGACCTGGAGCTGCTGTGCTGCTTCGAGTTGTGTCGGATTCTTCACAGTCTCCTGAAGACGTTTCTGGATGACATCGAACATGGATCGGAAGAGGAAGGCGCGGAGGGCAAGGGAGAGTTCCATGTCTTTCTGGGCCTTGAGCTCGTGCCAGTGTTCGCTCTTCTTGGCCAGGAGGGGTATGATGCTCATGCGGGACGCCGGCCGAAAGAACATCACGAATCCGCTTTGGAATCGTTCCAGGGCCATTTGATCCTCCAACCTCAGCAGCATCCTGCCCATCATCCACATCATACCTTCGGTGTTGGTCTCGTTCGGCTCTGCTGCCACTCGACGGGTGCGAGGAGGAGGCCGGGGCATCTGGCGAGCAGGTCGATCCCCGGAGCCCTTCCCGGTTCCGCCCCCTTTCGAGTCCTTGCGGTGGTACTTCCTTGGCTCCTGACCCGGGGATGTCGACCTCTTCTCTCCTGCGGGAGGCTCCGTGTCCATCGGAAGTGCTTGGGGTGGACTCTCGCCCCAGCATTCGAGGAGGGCGAGCTCTGCTTCCGCATCCTTCTTTCTCACATACATACATACATACATACATATTTGCTTACTAGCATATGGTGCTAGCCAGTGCTAGGAGAGAAGTGAATGACTTGAACAATCGCAACCTTTGAGTGGTTACCAAGAAGGTTGATTGAAAAGGAAAACCAAGGTCAGCCCGTTATTCGGAGACATGCTCTTAAGAGTTCGGAGAATTTCCAAGTTCCCTGTTCAAGTTCCGCGGGCTGCAGATCAAGAGCCCGTAGAGCCGCAAGGGCTTGAGAGGATTTCTGCCAGCAGGTTTAGCAGGGTGTTTGGGCGTTTTGCGGCTTGCAGCCTTGACGGGGTTAGAAGTCGAAGGCCTGCGTGTAGGACTGGCGCATTGCCGATTCTCATCTGGGGTCTTGGGGTTCAGCTTGACATAATTTGGTTTCGGAGCGATTTTGGCCCTGGGTGCGCAGGTAGCACACTGCCACTACATGTATTTTGCTCACTTAGCAACCCAAACTGCGGGCTTGCAAGAGACTTGGCCTAGCCACAAACAAGGTGTTACAATTGCCACGGCTTCAAGCCGGCTTCACAAGACAACATAGTTAGCTCCGGAAATGCAGCCTGCAACGCTCGACAGAAATTCGATCAAGCAATGAACCTTGCGGCATTACATCTGTGACCCTGAGCCTGGATGGTTGCAAACCCACGGAAGGCCCCCAATTCCTGAGACCGACAAGGGCCCCGTGGCCCTCAATCTTCTGCTTGAAAGTCGATAACCAACTCTAAATCCGAGATCCTTCACCAACCAAAGGCAACTAGAATGGCAAGGTGCTGCGAGATGTCAACTGTGTCGGCCCCTTCTGCATTCATGACGGTGATCACAGTGGTTGTTCCTGAGGCTCGGGAGCATTGTTAGGCTTGAAGGCTTTATGTTTGTAGTCTGTGGGGCGATATGGTTTAGGGCGGTCAAGCTTCAGGGTTTACAGCTTTACGTTTGGATGGGCCATCCGCCACTCCTCACAGTATGAAGTTCCCTGCTCAGGGTCTGGGGAAATGTTGCCCGTCAAGGCAGTAGGAACCAGAAGGAACCGTATAAACTAGTCTCTCGGCTTTCAGAGTCTAAACTCAGACTAATGCAATCTTCCTGGGCGCGGCCTCGGGGTAGAAGGGCTTCGAGGCGAGAAACAGGGTGGGGTCATCAGTGCAAGATGGTCACACAACGCATTGGGGACGAGAAGAAACCTCTGAAAGAAGGGTTTCGAAAGTTTGGCGAATGCCATGTTCGACTGTCGGTCGCAGACATTAATAGAGGAGATTTTTTTGCGGCACGAAGCCCCGCCCCAAAAAGGTCGAGATTTAGAGAGTTTGGGAGTTTCAGAGCTGAGAGTCGGAGAGTACGTTTGGCAGTCGTCCAGCTTTACGACAAACCAGGGGGAAGACGTTATGTCACTGGCAAACTCTCAGGCTCGTGTGCGTTTACAATGCCCTCGCACGCTCTGCAGCTCTCAATCACTCAACTTAGACTTGCGGTATTACCCCAATTCTCAACCTGCACAACCTGTCTAACCCGAAGATAATGACTGCATGACTGCCGGTTATTTGATTGACCATGAACTGAGTTTCGGGTTTAGACTTGACGATATGGTCGACAGAGGGCTTCGGCTTCGGGCCAATGCGAATCTAGCCTCCATTGTACTGCAGCGGCCCGTCACTTTCGGTGAGACCCAGCGTAGAGACCTCGATTCACCCTCACCCTCAGAAATCGACGCCATCGACAGTCCGATCGAGGTGGGAAGGTGACTTAAGAGGTGGAACGTTTTGGGCCGCTACCTGTTTGGCACGGCCGCGAGCCTAAACCCGAAAGCTGAACATGATGAACAACATCCCCGCACCCCAGCCCTTGAGAGTCGAAACGGCCCTAAAACCCTAAAAGCCCTTAAAGCTCCAAGTGCTAAGACCACGAACCCTAGTCATAGTCTTTGGCTCAAGCAAGAGGTTTCCTGTGCTGTCGAACAGGATGCCTGCAAGTAGCAGTAGGGCCGCATAGCCGGAGCTAACAAGTGAGTGGATGCATGGTGCGTCCTGGAGGCTCATCTTAATTTGAATTCGTAGGCCATAAGGATTCACGAGCTCCAACTAAGGCTGATCACTTCACCAAGTCCTGCGAAATCCTCCGAATCTCGAAGTCTCCGTCGAGACGAGACACGGAGCACGTCCCGTCAGCGAGGCACGCCAACACGTCATCAGTCAGTGTGTCAGAAACATTAATGCCCGTAGACACTGCGGAATGCTGCAGGAAGGCCTCACGATCGTTTTAATGGGCACGGAGCTGGACCTTTGGGCTTTGCACGGACGAATGCAACTCGATCCAGGAGGCCCTCCCAAGGCCCGCCTTCACCCCATGAGACTGGACAAGACACTGGACAGCTTACGCTGAAGGCAGAAATGCAAAAAAGGGCACGACAGGGCCCTGGCGGGAGACCTCCCCTGGGCCTCGAAGCTGTGGGAGAAGGGCCGGTTGCCTTCCTCCAAGAGCAGCGTCGCGGGCGGCCGTCGGCTCTTGGCGCTGGGCCTTGGGGTTCGTAGTGGGCTCGAAAAAACGGTTTCAGGATTCTGGGGTTTTGAGCCTTAGGCTGCAGGATAAGGATAAAGCACGTTCTGCGTACTAGTGTATCTGATTCTGTGTAGGACTAACGGACACGAGAACTCAAGATTTGCAGTCAGTTTAAGTCGGAAGTTGTTGGGGGTGTCGGGTGCAGGACCAACATGTCGGTGACATGTGCCTATCGCTCAAGTCGCATTGCGTCGACGAAGGGCCCAGGGGCGGAATAACCACTGGATCTTGCTGGAGTTGTATAAACTGCTGTGGAAAACATCCCAACAAAACAATACCAACAACAGCGTATCTGAATCGTCGGCGGCCTTCCAAATAGAATTTGAAGCATGACAGCATGACAGAAAGGAAAATTCACCCTACAAGTGGCTATTAAGTAGCAAAAGAATAATACACCGAAGTCGCCGAAAGGCCAAGACAAATACAACGAACACAGGCCACACCAACAAGACAGATCTGCAACAAACCTGCAGAGACTTACATATAAAGAGAAGGAATATCGAAGAAGGCCCCATGGGACAACCCGAATGGACTCAAAGAGGCTCTGCCAGCTCTGCGCAGCCTTCCACGCCCGGTCCAAAGCAATCGCCTTTGCAAGCCGACGAGCACCTTGGCTATTTCTGACGGGTTCTGACTCTTTGGCAGCAAAGGCCATACCTTTCCCTCGCAGGGGAAGATGCTTCAATCGATTTACCTTGATGTGCGTTCCTTTAATCGCAAGTGCTTGTCGTCAAGCGCTGACGAGCATACCCGCTGGGCGACGCAATTTTGAAGCGCTGCTCTTCGGAACGCTTGACTGACTGATTGCCTTCGCTTGCCTTGACCGCACGGAAGTTGAAAGCCCAGGCACGGGATGCACACGAAGGTGGCTTCCTGATCGTACAGGCTCCAACTCTTCCATGGTCAAGGGGCCGCGTGAATGGACCATAAAATACTAGCGACTTTTGGGTGTTGGCTGTGCAGCTCAGCAGCTGATGGAGGTTCTCGTGCTTAGGTTTGGGCAACAACGACACTAAAGACAGGGAAGGCCGGAGCTGTGCCTCTCTCGTTTTTGTTTGGACGAGGCCGGCCTTGTGGTTCAAGTGGACGAAGGTGTCACTCAGATAGCCGACTCCCTCGCAAGGGTTTCGCTCAGCACTGAGGCTGGACACCACGAGGATGCCGTCCTCGCCTGCTGCAGCGTGCATCCGAGCTTCCTGGGGCCGGGAAACTGTAAGCAACAGGATTTCAGGGCAAATCCTCTGCAGTCAAGGGAGCAGTACGCTGTTTTGCCCGCGAGGATGCTTGCAACATGTGGCTCTTTCGAGGCGGGGGTCCAGGACCTAGAAGTTTTGGGGGGCCCGTGAGTGCCTTAAACGCGCCTTGAAATGCCTTGAAGCTAGGCAAGACACAAGCTGACACAAGCTTCGATGCCAAGCCTTTCGGTTTGAACTCCCGGCAACCTCACCGCAACACCATACTGTATGTCGGGGACGTTGCTTTACAAGATTCTTTACGCAAATCTCCAGGAAATTTGCACCCGACACCCTCCGGCGCTCTGATTGACCCTTGGCGGAAACATCCTTGTCCGAGGACCCCACAATCTTTTGCAGGCTCCGGTGGCGAGACTCGGCTGAAAGGCGCTCCGCCTCAAGGGGGCTTGTCTTGGTTTTTGTCACTGTCATTGTCTCGCAAGGTGAACTTGTGT